TTTCAGAAAATATTGTCCATATTCATAAAAACAACTAAGAGCAAATAAAAGCATTTGAAATTAAATAATAATATCTTTGTTTTATTGAGTTTTATGTTACAGTTCAGAGCTGATTTTAATTAAAAACACAAAAAAAACGTGATTTGCATTCCTCAAAGCCTTGTGCTTTTAACTATTGTAATCATTAAACTAGACTCGATCGAATTTCTAGCGTTTTCATAAAATTAGTTATGGTGGGGGGCGGTAATAAATATAAACAAATATTTCTGCCATGACTTTAATAATAAAAAACAAAAAAACAAAACATATTTATAATAATTTCCATCATCCGTGAATAGTTCCTGAAAGTTTCATTAACATCCAACAGTTATTTTTATTTTTGCAAGATTCCAAATTAATGTGTGTCATACCAAAAAAAAAAAAACGTGCTAAAAATTGTCTGTTATTTACTAGTTCCGCTGATACAAAGAGAAACAAGGTTTTTTTTAATCAAAATTTAGAATGTTCTAAAAAGAAGGGAAAATTTTTTAAAATAATTAAAAAAAATACTTTGGTCTTTCCTCTTAATAATAACATAAACATTTAGACAATAAAATTTTGTTTTCGGCAAGGTTGGCGTCGTTTTCAAGCTATGCTCTTTTTTTTTTTTTTTTTTTTTTTTTTCGCGATTTCCTGGAGGTTACATTCACGATGTTTCGTTCGTTGTACGCTCCGACGTTCTTCAGCTGATATTTGAATTTCGAACTGAACCATTTCTTAATTCCACATACCGTTACCTTTGAATCGATCCGTACACTTTTTTTTTTTTTTTTTTTTTTTTTTAACATTTACTTGCTTCAGGCTAAGTCACTTTAAAAATGTCAAGTTTAAAACTGGTAGCTAATTTATCATTGATTTCTACATTTTTTTTTTTTCTGAATTTTTAAAAAAAAATTTTTTTTTTTTTTTTATTCTAAACATTTTTTTTATTATTCTAAAAACATTTTTTTTATTATTCTAAAATCTTTTTTTATTATTCTAAAAACTTTTTTTTATTATTCTAAAAACTTTTTTTTTTATTATTCTAAACTTTTTTTTTATTATTATTATTCTAAACTTTTTTTTTTTATTATTCTAAATTTTTTTGTATGCAATTTTTTCGGAAACACATGCACAAACATTTGAGATTCATAATTATATTAAAAGAACAATAAGCAGATATATTTTATCCGTTTGTTGTTCGTTATTTAAAAAAATCCTTTAGTAATCATCCTAAAAAAAAAAAAAAGCCTGTTTCCATACGCAAAACAGCTAGTGACACTCTCTAACTGTGAAAGTCAGTGATTCATTTGCATTTGACACTGTCGATTTTTTAAAAAAAATTTTTTATGAACAGTATAAAAAAAAAAAAATCAGTATTTTTCGGTTTTGTCGTGGCCGGAGAAAGTTCTACTAAAAAGTTAAAGAATGCTAATGCAAAAAAATTGCTTCCTCAAAAATTGTTTCCGTATTTTTGTCTATGAGTGGACAGTCTAGTTTGATTTTTTTTTTTTTTTTTTTTTTTTTATCATACTGCCATTCAGTAGATTCGATCATCGATCAGTCTGCAGTACAAAAAATGTTCAACACAGCTTTAAAAACATTGAAAGTGTAAAGCTTTTTTTCTATCGACCGAGTGCTATCTTACGTTCAATCAGCATGAGATGGACAAAGAAGGGCTTTGCGGTTCTGCCACTTTACATGTCGCTTTCTATCATAAGTGCGCTTTGAAAATCGTAATTAATTAAAAAATGCATTAAGACTTAAATCTCCCTCTGGGAGCTAATCGTTATGCCTTAAACAAATCAGCAGAAATAAAGTGTGTTTGGCCGTATTTGTGAACCTTATCCACCATACATATATGGCCTTTTACCAGATTAGTTATAATAACTCAGTATCAGTTAATGCACGGCTGACTGTGAGGAAAGAAAGAAAAAGTTAACACGTGCGTACAAATAAAATTTTACACGGTCAAGGTCGTCATGGGCAGACAACTTTCAAAGTTTGATAATTGTATGTTTAATTAAGAAAATAAGGATTTAAAATACTTAAAAAGCGTAAATCATGTGAAATTTATTATGGAACGTTGTATAATAGATGTAAAAGGGTGAATAGTGAGTTAAAATGGAGGTGCGTGTTGAGAATATTTAAATAAAGTTGCAAAAGTAAAAGACTAGCCAAGCGCTATTGTCGCATGTGTAGACTATGAGTAGGAAAGTCGGCAGCTTAGTCGTTAGCTTTGCGCAGAGGCGATACCATAGCCAATGAGGATTTTCCGAGGCGTGGTTATTGCTAGTTGAAAACTATTCCCAATACCCCGCGATGGCACCCACAGGGTGCCAATCGCAATTTGTGGACACCTCTAAGGAGGTGTAAAATGCAAACTAAAAATAGACTTTTTTTTTTTATATTGGATATATATAATCCCTTCTCAAAATCTTGATTTTGAATAGGATGAGCACCTTGCCATAGTTTATGTGAGATTATATACGCACTTGAGACAAGGAGATACAAATTACAAACTAAAAAACCTTTTTCTTTCTCTTACCTTTTCTTTAACTTCTAAATAAATCTTTCGCAAAGATGATTTTATTTACGTAAAAATCTCTTCGTTCTAATGCTGGCGTGATAAACGACCTAGTCGACTTTGTATACTACATTCTGTCTCTAAAGCTCTCTAAGTTGCCTTTTTGTTCGTTTCATAATGAATGGTCACATTAATCATCGTAATTTAGAAATGCTTTTTAGTTAAAAAAAAGACTTGTTTACAATACAACACCGTTTCTTACGATTTAAAAATGTTGCTGTTTTAAAATTGTAACAAAATTCGCCGTCACCGAAGAGAAGTATACTAGCGATGTGAAGAGAGTAGGAAAAAGAAGAGAATATTTATTTTGTAAAAAAGATACAGAATTTTGGCCGAAGGGGAAGTGGGGGAAAGGCTGTTCTTTCACTGACTATCCTAGTTAACCACAATCACGACCCATTTCTTTCAATACAATACTCAATCACTCCAAGAACTTGTCCATCACCTCCCAATGAAAAGAGATGTACGAGCTGTATTGCTTTTTTGCGCACCTATATCCGTATTATTGTTGTTACTAGCACATCCATGTGTAGGAAGAATACATTTCGTAAAACAATTTTTATTGAATGGTCACATTAATCATCGTAATGATAAAACTCTCTAAACTGAAACACGTGTTAGTTAAGGTTCGTTACTGGTTACGTGAAAAATTGATACTATTATTAATTAACCAGTCTAAAAGATTGAGAATTTTTTTTTCTCTGTTTAAAAAATAATGTTTTTTTTAATCCATTATTGCTTAAAAATTGTAATTGATATAATTTTAATAAACTAAATTGGTACTGTTTCTCACTTGCGACCTAACATGACTCTTTCCCGCCTTTTTATTACGATCACAAGCAAAGCAAGTTTACTTAGTGTGCCACTGTTTTGGTTTTAACGTGACAAACTTTTTCCAAGCACCATGCCCTCAAGACATAGACCTGTACTAATTTGTTTAATAGTTTGTAATTTTCTACGGATGGCGATGGCAGCCATATTTATTCAATTATTATCAGTCTCATTTTTTAGCATAATTTATTTCAGTAAAATTAAAAATGTATTTATAATTTAGTTAATTTTTAAATAAATGAATGAACTTCTAGTTACTATTACTTTTATTATTCCATTACTACTGTAAAATGTAATTTACATATAATTTTTATTTCATTAAGAATAAGATATATATTAAATAAATTAAAACATTACTTTTTTTCCTGTCCACATGTACAAACTTTTCTGATCTTTTTTCCTATCCTAAGAAAAGATTTTTCCTATGAGTATTGATGTCAAGACAAAAACATAATTATATAAGAATCTCAACATCTAGTAATTTCTCAAACCTTATATATATTTAATTTTTATGTCTGTATAATTTAAAATTATAATTATTTTATTTTATTAATCCTTATGTTAATATTTCTGTAAACATCTGCTACAAATGATAGATTTATTGCATGTATCTATTTATGATAATACACACATGCACTCAAAGTTCACTTGCACATCTTGTGAACTTGTATGCAAATCGTTGGCAAGACTTAAATGTCACAAATTGAACTTTAGGCTGGATACTCATACATTGACATTGGCAGGAGAGTCAATTATTATTCACACATGTACATATAAAAACCCAATAGTGTCTGTAATGCTTACATGATTTCCTAGCAATCAATATTTTTTTTTTCTTTGTCTGTTTCTTTTGTAAGCAACACTGTTCTGCCTTAATTCATGACCACTGAAAATCCTCTTTTCCTTTTTTTTCTATACATTTTATAATAATAGTAATTTATAATGCATTTCTATAGTAAATGTATATATTTAATAGTTCTCTTCTCACAGTAACTCTGACCCTAATTCCTGATCCCTAGAAATCTCTTTCTCCCTGATTTTTAATGCATTTCTTTTGTAAACATTTATCTATTATATATAAAACAATTGTATTCTGTCAGTAATATTTGTATTATTAATTCTTCAATTGAAAATTTATAGTTGTTTCAAATATAGTGGAACCGGTTCACAAATTTAATTTGTTCCTGAAGGCTGTTTGTAAACTGAAACTATTTTTCCAATAGGAATCAATGTAGAGAAAAAAAGTCACAGTACAATAAAATTGAAAAAGAAAAGCACAGCACAACACACGAATGTATACAATACTGAAGTCAACTCGGAACTTATTCCGTTCGGGTTAACTTGGTTCGGCAGTTTTGTTTGAGAACCGAAATTTTGTTTGATAACCAAGGCATTTTCTTCTCGAATTTTCTGTTCAAAAACCGATTTGTTTGAGATGTTTGAGAACCGAGGTTGTATTGTGCTAAATAATGCAAGATTGATACTATAAAAAGAAAATTAAGGAAGTTACATTAAAAAAAATATAATTTCTGAAACTTTTTAATTTCTCTTTTTTGTTCTGTAGTGCCTTCAAACGTCGTTCTCCAATCAGTCGTCAAGAAGGAAACATCCACAAGTTCACCAATACTCAAGATGACGATGATGAGAAATCAACTTGGAATGGAAATTCTACTCAACAAATGTGATCTCTTTGCCTTTATACTTTCATTTTCTTTTCTTTTTTTCTTTTTTTTTCATCTTTTCCTTGTTGCCACTCTTTTCTCTTTGCCAAAAAAGAAAATATAATAAAGAAAACAAAAAAAGCAAATTAATGACACCCACTCACAAAAGCACCGTCTGGTTGAAAAGAATCGTTCAAAGAGACAGCTCTTAAAACATTTACAAAGTGAGTCTAAATAAAATGGTTTTTAACAAATAATTATAAATTAAGGAAATCTATTTATGTCACAAAATAACGACCACAATTTGGGCATATCACTGTGACTTGTCACCAAAAGAAATAAATTTTGTCTTTTTTCTGACCAAAAATGAACATATTCAATCAACATTATCTACATAATTCTGTTATAAAAACGGTGATACAGTTTAATAAAAACTTAATGATTCCTGTTATTCTGATCTTGATCAAATCATATTTCGAATTTTAAGGAGATACTTTATTATTATTACTACTATGATATACGAGAGTAAACATTACTATGACTTGTTATCATTTTTAGGTCATTGTAAAGCTGATATTTTCTTCTAACTTGGCTTTAAATAAATTTTTTGTTTTAACTGTTTCTTGTTTGTATGTTACTGGTGTATTGTTTGAAAATTGAGCAAAAGAGGACTCTTCTCAAAACTAAGGATCTGTTCACAATCTCAACTGCCAACTGCTTCCTCTTTTGAAAATTGAATGCTTTAAAAAGTAGCTTTCTTCTGGCTGCTCTACTTTCATAACCCAACTTTAATGAGGACATCGTACTGTCATTCTTGAGCTAATTGACATTGTGTTTCATTTGGGACATTGCAATTTCCTGTCTCGTCGCTTAAAGGCTTCTCTCTCGTGGTCCAGTTTGTACTGAAAAAGATGAGTTTTTTGTTTTTTCTGTAAGCAAATTGTATGGTCACAAGCATCATGGTGTTAGTACCAAGGAGTACTTCATGAAGACCAATATGGCTAAGACATGAAACCAATAAGACATAGGGAAATACTGACAAAATAGTTTAGTTTGTATTGACCAAAGGAACATACAAGAAATAGAACCTTCAAAGAATACCAAAACCACATGGACTTCTGAAGAATATGGCTGTTTATTTAAATGTTTTCATTACTTCAAGCTTTATTTTTAGTGGATACTCATATTTTAGACAGTATTTATTATTCTACTGGCCTATGTACTCTAGAAAACTTAAAGAAAATGTGCCCGCCTGCAGAATTCAAACCTGTGTCCCCCTTTGCAGGAAGAGCCACACTCTGATCCAACATGCTTTGACTACAAAGAGCTTCACAATCAAGCCTGGTTCTATTTTTGCCTTTAAAGGACACATTCATTCAGATTTTTCTTGAAACACATATTTTCAACTATATTGAATCCTGGGCATGATGATTAACTACATCTGGCAGCAAGGCCTCTGAGCAGGAGATTGGAGGTTTCAAGAAGCATGGAACCACCATTGCTGTTGTTCCTAGGTCCTCCCTGACCTGGGGTTTTAGCACCTGTTATGGTTCCAGATATAGTGTGGCTCAGAAGATGATCCCTTCATGAGGACAATGTTGAGACACAGTGTCTGAGTACGGGACTGGCAGAGTTCTCAGTTGCCATTAAAGTCTGTGATGACAGCCAGGACAGGTGATCCTGTCAAAACTTTTTACTCCACTAATATTATAGCAAGCTCATCTACAGATCCTGTGGGTGAGAACTGCTATGTGTGCAGCTAGCCAGTTACTTTATGGGAGGGAATTCCAGAAATCACTGCACTTTCTTACTTTGCCAGATTGCCTATAAATGTAGCAGTGTTCTATCTCACAGGTCTAGTTGCTATTGTTAGCTGAATACACAACCAAAAAATTTTTTAATTCTAATGCTATTTTATGCTAGTTCATAATACTTTCAAAGTCATCATTATCCCTTTTTTGAAATCTGACAGTCCTTCCAGTATGAGGTAGTATGACCCAACCCTGTAAAGATAAAAATTTAATTGCCACTGAAACTGTAGCAGTGTTACTTGGTATGCTTACAGTACTAAGTTATATAACATGAGGCATATTGAAGTGACTGTGTACTTCTTTCTCTTGTATCTTTCTGATCAATAGAGTCATCATCAATGAGTAGATCTTAATTAAATGTCATAAACATGGTAAAATATGAATAGCGTTTGCTGTTATATTTGAGTAACATTTGTTTTGCCATATTTGGATTTTCTCTGTGTGTGTATGCATGTGGAATGTTCTGAATGTAATGCCTCCTCTTTATTCCAAAGGAAAATTACAAGAGTTCCAGGAAGCAGAATATCATTGGATAGAGCAAGTTTTCATCTACAGAATACTATTTCTCTGTATAGTCATTACCATTGATGATACATTTTCACCAGTTTTACATATATTACTTCAATAGCATTAACATCTATCTCTGATGTTGTTGACCAACATAATAAATTGAGAGGCATTATTTTTTAAGCAATTGTGTGTGTAGAGAAAGAGAGAGAGAGAGACAAGAAAATTCTGAAAAGTAATAATCATGACATTTTACACACATGGACATACATACGCATACAGGTGTACACACACATGTGCACACAAAAAGAAAAAAAGTCAATCTATTACCAATAAAAAAGCACTTTTTTTCTTAACTTAATATAAATACACTGAATCTCCAAAACACTGACATCATTTAAAATGTGAATATCTGAGACAAAGATAAAACAAACAAATTTAGATTTCATGTTGAACAATAAAAGATTTATTTATCAAAATTCAAACAAGTTAATCAAAGAATGTAAATTTTACAACTGATTTCACAAATGTTCAATATGCACTTCACCTGTGACATGAAACACATCAAGTTGGTAGCCCAGCTCCTGCCAAACATGCTGTAGCATGTCCTTTGTAACATTCCCCAGTGATTCTCTGCTTAAGTTCCTCTAGGCTTGTAGGAAGATGGTGGATAGAAACCTGTTCTTTCACATAGCCCCATAGAAAAAAAAATCACTGGGTGCCAAGTCGGGTGAATGTGGTAGCCATTTCAACAGCACATTGTCATTATCACTGGCATGCCTGATCCATCTTCCTGGTAAATTCTCATCAAGTCCACACAGTCAACTTAGTTTTAAACATTTTGTTAAAATTTGAGATCATTTGAGCAAGAGCTGGCTATTTTATTAAACTACAAAATGATGTCAATTTTTGGGGAGACCCTGTATAATGAAAATATGAGAAATTGGCAGACAATTGGTGATAACTCATGTGAAGAGGACTGAATGATTACAAAAATGTTCATTTATGAAAATATGGAGTTTCAGTCAGCTAAGTGATAAATTTTATATTTGTACTAAAATATATATATATATATATATATATATATATATATATATATATGATAGGATAAAGAACAAATAGGAAACAGATCTTAATCTAACAAGAAATTACTTGTCATTAAGCTTTAGGGCCAAAATAAAATTCAAAATATAAATAAGAAAATATGCAACTGTCCTACTCCTCTATCTTTCCTTTTAATCAGACTATTATTAAGTAACCTCATCCCTAGTGTGACCTCTTGTACTCTTTTCGTTCTACAACCAAATAAAGCTAAAACATTTGAGTTTTAATTTTCTACATCCTACCATTAACTCTTTCATAAAACTTTGTTATATTACAATATCAATCTTACAATATATGTGATACACCAATTTAGGTGTAAAAATTTTTATATTGTTCGTACCTAATATGGTAAATTTTTATATACTATATCAGAGGTCCTCAACCGGGCACCACATGCACCCTGGGGTTGTTCACGTAACATTACTGGGGCTCTATACAAAAAAAAAATAGCAAATTGGGGTTCCACGGTAATATTTTAGTGGTTCATAGAGCAATAGCAATTTTACTTCGGAACGGTTGTTACAACTGAGAATTGGAATTTCTACAGTAATCTACGCCATATTAAAATACTAAAAATAGAAAAACAACTCTAAAACTAGCAGAAAATGAGATCAAGTGATGCAAATTAGCGTTGCTTTTACTTTACTGGATGTTTTGATTGTAAAAAGTGAAGGAATATATATAATTATATAAAGATTATAATATATAAATTAATTTGATATATTAATAATTCTAAATAAAATATAAATATAAGACTCAACATTGTGAAAAGAGTTGATTTTCAACTATCATTGACATTAATGGAGCTGAATATAAAAAAAACTTACAGAGCAGCATCAAACACATGATCTCATTGAATAAATCTGCACTTTTTTAAAATTTATAAATTACTCACATATTTTGTTATTGTTTATATAATGAGTTATTTTACAAGTGTATATAAATGTTCCATAGAATTTAGTTATTTAAAAAAAGTTTCTTTTCATTAAATTAGTTTTACTTCAAAATAAAGCATATACAGCGGGGGGGAATAAATATTCGTACACATGAAAAATTGTATTTTTATAAATGTAAAAACCTTAACTAAAACAAATCTTGATACATTTTATGTGTAAAGATACATTTTATTAAAAAATAGTAATAAACTTAATTAATTCTAACAGAAATTAAAGCATTTTTTTTCATTTTAACTAGTGAAAAAGTATTCATACAAAACAAAAAAAAGCATATTAATTTAATACTTTGTGGAATATCCTTTATTGAGTTCAACAGCTACCAGTCTATTCCTGTATGTCTCAACTAATGACTTGCACACATTAAGTGGTATTTTGTCCCATTCTTCTTGGCATATTGTCTTCAAATTCTTGATATTTTTTGGTGCTCTTTTCCCAATTTGAATTTTCAAATATCGCCATAAATTCTCGATTGGGTTCAAGTCTGGGGACTGACTTGGCCATTGCAAGACATCAACATTACTTTCAGCTAACCATTTCCTTGTAGATCTAGCGGTATGCTTAGAATCATTATCCAGTTGGAAAACCCAATCAGGAGGTAGCCGAAGTCTCTCAACAGAACACATTAAATTGTCTTGCAGGATTTTCT